TCCCGTATTAAATCCGATGCGCGAGACGATACGATATTAAATATAATTGTTACTTTCCCAAAATCCGATTTCGGAGAACATTCCTTTGCGCGATATTCTCGGTGTGTTTTTATAAATGAGAAAGGTGAATCGCCGTGTTCCTACGGAACGCGACAAAGTCGTTGATGGAAGGATTCTGAAACGCATGCATATACGAGATAGGCCGGCGAGCGCGCGGGTTTCGAAACCGCGCGAATTTAACGCGTGTTACAATCAATGAAGTGGCACCGGACACCTCGCCGCGAACGAGGCCTCGCTCAATTACGCCCCTGGGCCGTTTAATTAATACGCCTATAATTCGCGGTCTTTGCGTAATTATATACGCTCACGTTCGCGGGGTATACCCATGCGTGTAGATCCGGATAATCCACGGCCTGCTCCGTGCCCGTCCGCGCGGTGGAAGGACAAGACGGGGAAGGGGGAGAGGAAACGGGAGACGGAAAGGAAGAGAGCGAGATCTCGTGAGAAAGGAGGAAAAAGAGAACGAAGGATTTCCGTCGCCAACGATGCAACATTGAGCTCGCTTTCGCGAGCATTCCGGACACTCGTGCGCGCGCGCGCGCGCGCGCGTGTGTGTGAATATTCCGGACGTCGCGACGCGGCGTTTGTTTTTCGATTCGGACCGCGCGCGAGATCGCCAGCGATATTTTTGAAACTGGTTTAGTGCTCGCGACAGGTAGCCGAAGAGCTGCGCGCAAGTTTGTTCCCGCCGTGGTATACGCCCGGATACAGACTTGCACCACACGGCGCGCGAGCGAATCCAGCGTGTGTGATATTAATGCGAAGTTACCGAAGTGAGAGAGCACGCTCGGCAGATTCCACCCGGGTTGTGTGTACCCTTAAACGCGACGTTCCTCACGGACGGACCTTCGTCCGTCATTTATTCCGCTCGTGACACGCTCGGAAATTCCGGTCCCTGTATATCGCGCGACACGTTTCGATTGCTTTGCATATTTCGCGACAAAATCTCCAGATTATAATCACTTATGTAATAAATGGATGTAGTTTCGTCGCGTGTAGTTTTCGTTTTATCGTGCGTAATAATTTTTAATTCCTTAGAATATTCACAGAACTCAGCTTTGATTGGAGACTCCGCGATATAATTATTTTACACGTCTTATACGAAACACTTAAGCATTTGGATTCTAAAAATATAATACCTCTGTGAATTTTGGAACTTCTATTCGCGTTCCCAAATCCTTAATTTGTCAAAGTTACGGATCTTCTGGCCTTGATTTTTTTTTATCGGTTCCTGGTATTAATGATCTTTTCAAATCAACGAACCCCGCTGTGACTGATCTCTTCCTTTCATCTCCGCGAAGATATTTGAATTTTGATTTTCTTTACAAATTGCTGCCACGGGATATCTCCGCTATATCTGTAATACGCCACGTCTATCGTATATACATATCCAGAAACACGTTTGTATTAATTGAGTCTCGGATTAACGATCGACCTGGCATTCCGTCGTGATTGCTATCTTACCGCGTGGCGTGGGGAGAAAAATGCCAATAAATCGCTCGTGTAATGCCGCTATCAACATGTATTACGTGGATGACGCGATCTTTGATAAATCGCCACATGCAAATCACGTCGGAGAGCGGATCGGTTTCTCGGTAGCCTTTCGTAGCTAATTATTACAAATGGACTCTAATCGATTGAAACGCCGAGAAAAAAAAGTATTTGCGTCATTTACGGCACGCAAAGCGAGATTTTTTTCTTCCGGGGAAAAAAGAAGAACGTTTTTACGCGAGAAACGGGTGATCCCGATGATGCAGAAAAACAGGAAATCTCGAGGAACAACACAACTCCTTTCTGAACTTTACATTGAGATATTGAGATTGCCTATAAATAGTTTGCGAATAGCTGCATATTTAATATTAAATGTCGCGTAATTTTTTCAGCAATAAAGTCCCTAAATATTTAGCTTTTAAATCTTTGAACTTTTAAATTCAAAATTCTTTTAAATTCGCGCAATCCTGGATCGTTTTATTTTGGAATTTATAGATTTATTTTTTCTAGATTTTTAATATATTAATTTCATATTGGATGCTCGAACACTTTGCGGAGTACTTTCTTTTGAGACATGAAACAAGTAGTTTGAAGTATACCATAATTATACCGTTGCGAACCAGATGTTTCTCATATTTTTAATAGAAAAATTGATTTTAATCAATAGACACTTTCATTTAGTTGTCAGCTGCACATAGTAAATTATTTCCCGTTCGTCGTACTATATACATGGCTATTTATGTATTTGTTTTGAAACACCAATGATCGTGGTGAGAACACGTCCCATCGACGAGGTGCGTTTCTTGCGATTGTAATCTACAATGTGTCGTAAACTCCTCCACGGAACACAATTTGCCGGAGTGAAACGCGTGCCCGCATCGAAAACCGTCGTCTTCCCGCATCACCCGCGTGACGACGAACAAAATAAATCGACGTCGGGGACATGTAATTTGTACTTGTGAAAACATACTTCATAAGGGTTATCAATTGTTAACTCGATTATAACTGAATTATAAAGTCGTGCGATAAAAAGCGAGACTTACTAGTATATATACTTTCACGAGACTTTTTTTTACGACAGCGATTACCTCGTCGCGACGAACTTGCAGGGAGATCGCCGCGATTCTGGCGGAGCCGGACGTTGTCTGTCCCTTTCGTCGCACGCTGACAGCAGCGATTTTCCCGAATGCGTGCGAGGCGTTGTTCGCACGCGTGTTTCCCGGGGAAATCGAGATAATCGGGTTTCCAAACCGGCCGGGCTAAGTTATCCGATCGGACATACGCATGTCAGGTTTATCGGGACGGCCGTGTGTCGCGGATATGCACACTCGTGTGCACTCGATGCGTATATATGTATATAATATATATAATATGTGTATATATATATATATATATATTATACATATATATACTTATATTCATAATGCGTGACCAACCGCGTCCGTTTGCTCGCGCGCGTGTATGCGTATATGGCCGGGTCGATCGGGAAAGAAGAAGCCGGTCGCGCGAACGGGACTTAAAGTCAGGGCCGGCGAGAAGGGCCCGAAATGCCCAAAGACGCTGCCGGGCCACCTGCAGCCGTTAAGTCTCAACAGTTGCGGCACCGCAGCCGCCTCCATATTTCATATTAGCGATAATATATAAGTCCGGCTACCGTCGCACTCTCCCTTCCCCCCCTCCCCTCTCGTTCTCACTCTCTCTTTCTCTCGCGCCCGGCCTCTCCGTCCGTCGTCGCGAGGCCCCGGCTTCTCGCTCTAGGATCATTCCCGATGTATGCTAACGAGCCCGTCCGACCGGCTCGATTTCGGTAATTAGCGGCCCGCCGCGTCCGTGATCCTCGAGGTCTATTGAATCCGCATCTGTTTCCGAAAGTGTGTTTAATACAAATGCGCGCACCGAGCGCATGTATATGTGTATACGGGTTTGCAATATCTTCTATAATTTTGCGATTCCTCTCTTGAGCGCCGATTACTTCACTCCGCGTAATTTATTTGAATTTACTCGAAGGTGTAATTCGGATATTCTCGCGGCTCGCAAGATGCGAGTATCGCGTTTTATCTTCAATGTCTAATTACTCTCTCTCTCTCTCTCTCTCTCTACCTTTCCTCTCTCAGGAGTTAATTTTAATCCGGACCATCCCGCGATTCTAATCACCTTGTACATCCCATCGCGCGAATTCTCCTTCGAAAACGGCAAGGTGGGACGCGATGTGCGCGCGCGGTCGCTCGCGCGTTACATGATACCGTCGCGGGGAATTTGTTTCGTCGCGCCACATTGTTTCGGACAGGAAATCGATACCGGGACTTCGCCCCGGCCGTAGCGCCGCGCGCTATCTACGGTATCTACCTGCGACACAGACCTGCGTCTCTCTCTCTCTCTCTCTCTC